AAGAAAGGGAAAAAATGATGACCTCCTTTGCAGTCTGGGCCCCCCACTGCCCTCCTTGCCTGGCAAATTTGGAGCAAGTTTTATTGGAAGAGCCTATTGATAATACTGCCAATCATCCGTTCTTGAGATTGCTGTATGGTATTAAGTCACGGTTTGACAAAATGGACACAGTAATTAAAGGAAGGCAGATACTGGACAATAGGAAGGGCTAGTAACCCAAGACAGTACATGGTATCTATGGGCCTTATAAAACTGTTAGATCTGCCATTTATTGAATTGGTTTAAGAGCTTCATTTCCTTTTTGTTGGCTTTGTAGCATATTTAAAGTAACACTGTCTCAGCCAGTCTTATCACAAGGGCTATTAAATAACAGGTCAAATTTTCAAGTTATTCTCTGTAACCTCAATCTTGAACCTAAAGGGAAGCTAGAAACTGGCATTATCTGGATTTCTAGTTCTTAAAAAAATTACTTTTCTGCTTAATAGGTGATAAAGATCATTTAAAATCTTTGACAGAATCATTCCCTGTTCAGCCAGGAGGCAGTTGTGATAAAGAAGGTAGAGTTAGGACACCTGAGAATTTGGCCACAAATAAGGTTTGGATGCTGGGAATGTTGTCACTGTTCCATGCTTGCACGTTTCGGACACGGCAGTGGCAACACTTTCTTCTCAGGGAGGTGATGTCAGGCCTAGCATGGCCCACTGAACTCTAACCTCCTTGAGTTCAAGGACTCTCTTGTTCTTGCTGCAATCTTACCCCCATCAAAAGGAGTTTGCCAGTGGATTTGTCCAATGAATCCTTCTAGACTTGCCATCCTTCCTCCTCCCTCAATTCTTTCTTCATATCACATGTATAAGATCAGAACTGAGACTTGTTTGGACCGGTCCAATCTCTGTCACACCTCCATAGGTTGTGGAAATAGCCATTTCCAGAACAATTTTCCTTTACATAAAGCCACATGATGCATAAAAAGGTCAGAAACCAATATGAAAAGGGGAAGAAAGTTGAAAGACTCAAAGGTAGGAGGAGAGAGTGAGAGAGAATGCAAAAGCAAGACTGAGGGCCCACCCTGAAATGGATTAGAACACGTGCAGCTTTATTCAAAGTCTGCCAAATACATCTTGCTGTGCCTCTGAATGGAAAATGGGATAGAACAATGAGCTGGAATTTACAGCGCCTTTGAAAAGCAACTGCTGTCAGCATGCACTCTGAATACTCCAAGTATTGCATTCAGACCAAAGAAGCTTTTTCTGGCCCTTGTGGCCCCATGACAGCCTGTAGAAGACAACAAACCCTACCTGGCTGTGACCTCTAGTTCTATTCCGTGAGCATTCTGTGTGCTTTCAAAGGTCATGCATGTTTCTAGAAGGAAAGAGAACACAAGGTACATATTTTATGAATTATATATCAATAGAGTATACATTTTACGGCCTGATTTTGCCATAAAGGCCAGACGTTTTGTAGGTCTCGAACAAATTTCTCAGAGAGATGAATGAGACATTTCTGATTTGATATTGGAGTCAGGCTATATCATTGCTTAGTCTTGTATTTCAAGAATACTTTATGTATTCTTAACATGTTCCCGATTTCAGTTAATGGTGGTGTCCTCCAATCTCTGTCCAACAGAATCTGGAACAACCCATAACTCTGTCCTCTCTCTCACCCCTTACATCCATTGGTCATCTGGTCCTGTCTTTTTTTCTGATATTCAGGTCAATATCTGTCTTTCTCATAGCTTCCCTCACTGTGATAAATGAATTCACTTCTCCTGTCTTCTATTCTTTCCTTGGTTCCATTCAACCTCCTTGATTCTGCCAGCTTTGGCTTTCTTCCCCCAAATCCAATCACATCACTCCCATTTCACAACCTTCACTGGGTCCCACTTTACTCAGGAGAAAACTGAGACGTGTTTAGCCAAACAGATAAGGGGATGTGAAGTAGGTGGAGCCCACACTGGGAACAGGCCCCAGGGGCAGGCTGGGCTACTGCTTTGAGCTTTATTAATAGGCCACTTTTATGACTCATTCTGATTGCAAATTTTATTAAGCACCTATTATGTGCAGACAGTGTTCTAGGCATTGGAGATACAGCAATGAACACAAAAGCCACGCTGGCCCTCCTGGAACTTATTTGGCTGTGGACCAGCTTCTAAAAGAATCAAGCACTTGGTGGAGGGACCTAGAGTCAGTTTTCGAAAAGGCTAATTATCACCAAGGAGCCAGACCCAAAAGCTCTGATGTGATAGGCCTATGTAGTGTCAACGATGGAGGTGAAGAAAGGCTCCCGATGCTGAAACACGGGTGCCTCCTTGCTTGCTGAGGTTGTTTTAAGGGTCCATCAGAGAAGAAGAGTGAGGAATGGGGCACTAGAAATACCCAAGGGTGCTTCCAGAAATCTCTGGATGCCTTGGCTCTCATGCTGGAGAGCTTGCCAGATGGAGTGGCCTGAATTTTACCTTGGAGCTCTAAATCCACCTGTGTCAGGGTGGGGGTAAAAGGTGCTGCTATGGCAACTGCTTAAGGAACCAACTAGAACAGCTTTGAATGAAGACAATCTTCCTAGGCATTACCGACCCTTCACCTCATAAGAAGACTACATTGTCATTCAATATCCAAATGATGATTGACCTCAAGACCCCACCCCAAGGGGGTACCCCATCATTTTTGAGGTACATTTTCTGCCACTTTTGTACATCTGCTCACAGTTCTTTCAGCTGTATGTGGGGCTTGGTGGCCCAAAGATGCTCTTGGGCTTCTAGAAACTCTAAAAATCTCCATACTGTGCTCCTCGCTCATCTCAGCAGTGGTCAGTCTGGCAAGGTGGGTAAGTCTAGGGTGAGGCCCAGGAGTGTCTCTTTCAGCCTGTGTGTAACAATTGGTAATGAGATTGCAGACACAGAGTAGAGTAGGAGCCCCAGGGAGTGAGGGGGATGAGTGAATAATGTCTGTCCCCGTATTCTCCCCCATGAGAGGGGTGTGGCTGTGACTGAGTTGGGGAGCTAGCTGCCTTAGGAGCCTGGAGTGGATTGGAAGGGCCTCCATATGGGGGTCAGTGTAGAGTCAGGGGACCTGGCAAGGGGAAGTTTCTCTTGGGGAAGCGCAAGTCAGAGGCCGTACAGGTCCCAGTGCCATGTCATCAGTCAGAGAGATGTCTTGGTGCTGGTGTCTCTGGGTGCAGATGCTGTGGCAAGAATTCAGGTACAAATTATTTAGGAGGTGATTTCAGGAAGCATGGCTAGAGGAGAGGGAAGAGAGATAGAAGGGGAGGGATTTTTTAAGGCACTTGGAGTTTGATCTCACTAGGAAACTCTTTAGAACATGCCTCAGAATGACTCCAGCTGAGGGGTGAGGATGCTGGGCATATCTAACAACTCCCTGCTCATCAATGATTGATGGGCGCTTTCTGGTGCATTGACCTCCAGGCCCTCTCGCTTTCCCTCCACATGGTATGAAGGATTCCCATAGCCATAAAAAAGCAGAGTCACAGGGTTTGCATTTTCTGGATGTAGAGGGGAATGCTAAGGGGACCTGGGCAGAGTGCCAAGGGCCTCTCGTAAAAGTAAGAGGACCCAAACATGGTGCCACTGACCAAGCTAGGTCAGAATAGGATCCCAGAGAGGATGTGAGTAAAAGGTGGAGCATGAAGGAATCCTTTGAGTTGAGAGAAGACGAGCACTCACCTTTTTAATGAGGCATCTGAGCCTCTGCTAGGGTTTGGGAGGAGGTGCCATCTGCCCAGATAATGTGCCCAGTCACTCTGGTCTGAAGAGGGGAAGCTGGACTATTGCCTTTCCTCCCTGTTATAGACTGAATTGCGTCCCCCAGAATTCACATGTTGAAGCCCTAACCTCCAACGTGACTGTGTTTGAATAGGATGGGGTCCTAATCCAATAGGACTGGTGTCCTTAGAAGAAGAGCAAGAGCCACCAGAGATCTCTCTCCCTCTGTGTACAAAATGTGAAGACACGATGAGAAGGTAGCTTTCTACAAGCCAAGGAGAGAGCTCTCACCAAAAGTCGAATTTGCCAGCACCTCGATCATGGACTCAGAGCCTGTGGTACTATGAGAAATAGCATCTGTTGTTTCAGCCCCGCAGTCTGTACATGCACACTAGTACATGCCCTCACTCTTCCTAAGCACTCCCAAGAATATCTGAAATACTGGATATGTCCCCTCACAGTTATGGGATAAATTTTAATGAACAGGAAAGGCTGTGGCACGTAGCACGTATGTCAAACATTAAGTTTGTAACTGATTAGAGACGTACTGAGGTTCTGAACGGCCCAAATATGCGATTCCCATTGTCCATACCTGCAGTCGCTGCTGGAGTCAGGAGTATGTCCTATCACCGGTCCTCCTCTCTTCCCCCTGCTCTTTCTATTTCCCTTCTCCACCAACTCATCCTCCTTCAGACTGGTTGCCATCTCTAAAATGGTAATTTGCTAAAAACGACAATGACAACAACAGCAAAACATAAATATATTTAAAAATAAACTAGTGGGGGGATGGGGATGTAGTTTATTTTGATTTGTCTTAGGTTCTAGATACATGAGCCAGTGCTTATTTTCAAATCAGTCCCTTCCTCTTTATGTATCTTGTAATATACATATGCTTAACTCACCCTCTTCTCCATGAATAATGAGGGAGCCAGACTATAAAGACAGTTAGGAGTTTTCAAAGCAGCTAAGTGGACTAGGTCTTTCTCCAACTTAAAATCATTAAAAAAATGATGCTACATTTTATTTTTATTAAGTGTCTGAAAAAATCCAGGAGATGAGGCATTCTGCGCTTGGAATTTCATGGGCAAGGCCTATCAAATGTTCTCCTTCAACTGATCTGACTATTTCTCTCCACCTCTGTGCAGTCCATCTAGTCTAGGCCACCATCATCTCCCACATGGGCCATTGTCATAGCCTCCCTGCTCAATTGTTTCCCTTCAGTCCCCTCTGAGCTTAGGGACTGGGGCAACTTGGGAGAACATACGAGATCAAGTCCCTCCTCTGCTCAAAACCCTCCCATGGCTTCGTGTCTCATAGAGGCTACTCGGTGAGCTGCCCTCACCCAATTTTGCCTCCTCTCCTGCTACTTTCACCACACTCACTCCCACCTGTCCTGCTGGCCTGGTCCTTTTGCTACATACCTCAGGGACTATGCATTTGTTGTTTCCTCTCTCTCTAGAATGTTCATCCCCAGGTATCTACATGGCTCACTCTCTCACCTCCTCAGGTCCTTGCTGACACGTTGCCTCCTTACTGAAGCTTTACCCAATTTCCCTCTTCAAAAATGGACCCCAACTCATACTCCCTGTGGTTCTTACCTTGTTTTGTTTTCCTCTATAGCACTTCTCAAATACTACATGTTTTTTTCTACTCATTTTACGTACTATCTCTCTCCTCAGTGAATGTGGCCTATCAAGGGCAGGAGTTCGATTGAGTTCTACCTGCCATATGCTCACACAGAACAGTGCGTGGCATGTAGTTGATGTCTGAAAATGAGAGCTGAATGAGTCTGTGGAAGGCCCCAGGGCGGTTGTTGGGAAAAGAACACCCCCTGGGTTTCCCTTGAACCAGAGGTGCAGCCTAAAAGCCCACAGAGACATTTTCTTTCACTTGCACAGTGTATTTCAAAACCTTATATTTGCTACCAATTCTTAAGAAATTTGTCACTTGACATAAAATCCAGGGAATTGGTATCACCTGATAAATATGTGATGATTGGACATGTCCTTATCCTTATGACGATAATGAATGGAGCTAAGCAGTAGCCACCCACTGAGAATGTTAGTGAAACACCCTCTCCTGATTCGCTCACTTATGCAGCCACTGGTTCAACGTTGACTTTGGGGAGGCAGGAGGTGGGGGAGGGCATGGAGTAACGAAGCATGGGCGGGCATCAGCACAGGTCCCAGATGTTGCTTTACCAAGGAGGGTAAAGTGTTCCTGTCATTTGGCTGCCCGGATTCCCACCGACTGCTGCTCCCAGCTTCCTGATCCTTCTGATCTTCAAGTTGCAGAGCCCTTGGTCACATCCCAACTCTTTAGCAACGGTAGCCTTAAAAGCAGGTGGTCAAGAATGGATAGGAGAAAATGCAGCTGAAAAGAGAAAGAAAAACATACCTATTGGTAAAGTGCACATGATTCTCTAAACACACGTTAGAAGTGTAAAGTGCCCACAAATCACCGTTTTTGCTAAATTGGGCAATCCCACAATTTCATTGGCTAAGTATGGCTGAGCATATATTACACATAGTGTTCACTGAACAGAACTAATTAAAGAAAGAAAGAAAAAAAAAACAGACAGGAAGACATAAGCTTCCAGCATCTAAGGAGTTATTGTGATTAACAAGCACAAGGAAAATGATATTACTTATTCCTCACCCACTATTTATTATATCCTTTATATTTTGTCTTTTCCTCATACCTGCCTCAGTACACATAGCTTTGCCTTTGGAAGAGCTGGGGCCAAGGTGCTAAGTCAACAGCCTCTGTTAATAGATTTAGAAATAAAAAAAGACTTGACAGTTAATTCTATTATCCATAAATATTTCTTTTTCACCTGTTATGCTCACATTATTTAAAAGACACAGAAATAACCTAGCAACACATACAAGTTACTATATCTCCTACCCTTAAGTTTCTTCAAAATTTAAGGAGCACATCCTTCCCATTCCCCATTCTTCATGCTAAACAGTTTTGATTTAGAACCTAAACCTTGAGATACAAAGACCTCAAATTATGAGTAACATGAATTTCTATAATTGATTTCTTCTCTCAGGGTATTCAATGCAACACTAGAAAAATAATCAGATTTGCTTGCATAATGACACATATTCATTTGAAAAAAGAAACTAATAACATGTTAAGTTACTTGGACCTTTGGTTCTGCAAAGAAGTTATGATTTCACACTGCTCAGCATATTATATTTTCTACACAGATGCTGAAAATGTATTTAGGGACTAATTGCTGGGCCCTCGTTTATTTGCAGGTGAGAGAGATCTCAGCCAGCCTGTCATTTGCTTGGCACTTATTATGTAACAATCACTGCACCTTAGTCAGTTTGGGCTGCTGTAATAAATTACCACTGACTGGATGGTTTAAATAACAAACATTTATTTCTCACAGTCTGAAGAAGACTGGGGAGTCCTAGATCAAGATGTCAGCTGATTCAGTTCCTGGTGAGAATCCTCTTGCTGGTTATGACCTCACATGGCCTTTCCTTGGTGAGTGCAAGCAGAGAAAGAAGGAGAGATCTGTGCATCCTCTTTTTTGAAGGGTACCAATCCCATCACGAGGGCTCCACCCTCATGACCTCATCTAACTCTAATTACCTTCCAAAGGCCCATCTCCAAATACCATCACACTGAGGGTGAGGGCTTCAACATAAGAATTTCGTGGGAATACACTAACAGCATGGGCCTGAGGTCGCAAAGATAAATGAGGCAATGAGACCTTATGGGACTCAGTTTATACAAAGATAGACATATAAGTATATATAGCACTTAGAAAACAAAAAGAACTACAAGCAAAGTGCCCTGGAGAATTGTGGAGGGAATGATGGCTCTCGATGAGCAAAGGGGTAGAGGGATACGTCACATTCAGGAAGTGGCATTCAGCCGACGATAGCAGTGATGGCTGCTGCTCCGTCGGCCTTCTTGGCCAGCACTGTTGGACAGTCTCTGTTCCCATTTTGTTGTCACACCCGGCCTCACTGACCAGTTCTTTTGGGGTATGGTTCTGTCGAGTGAATTTAGCCTCACAAGCTTCTATACTTTTCCTGTTGCCTTCTTTGAGGAGCCCAAACAAGTTCTCCAGTGACAAGAAAGAAGGGTACTTCGAGATAATTGACCCAGTATGGCAGCCAAGCTCGTTCCTTCAAGCAATATTCTAACTGCTATCTACAGAAAATGCTCTCTCCAGCCACCTTCAGGACACAGGTGGTCCTTTGGCTGTGTCTGGTAGAGGAATGCTGGGGTGGTGGGGGAGCCAGCAGGATATAGCAGGGTCTGGGGTAGAAGAAGTGCTGCTGTCTTCACTGGGTGGGAACCACAACTCATCGCAGACAAGTCCTAGAGTTCTGGTACTGGTCCAGTCCAGTTCTAGCCATGCATCATGGGGCTGATCTAAAGAGATAAGAGAATGAATGGATTTGGGAGTGTGGGAGGCAGCAATGCTGCATTTCAAGTCATCAAATGGCAGTGGTGCATTTATGTGAAGTGTGAGAGATGAATGACAGAAATAGTCTCCTGGAAATCTGTCTTGCCGCAAACTTGAGTTAATGGAGTAAGGCAAGGGTGATTAACCACGCTTGTCTCTCCTTTTTTACATCTGGTGGTACCAGGGCCTAACTAACAGTACACCTTCCTCTATTTCTTCAGGAAGCCTTGAAATCCTTCAGCAAACAGGACTCTTGCTGGTACTCCCTGGTGTCTCAGAGTTCCCTGGGGTTTGCATGCAAATTAGGTCCTTACCATCATCCTCTCTTTATTGTGGGACTATCTCATTTCTGCTGAGTTTTGAGTCACATCAAACCCTAAGTGCTAAAGACCTTCACCATTCAAATAAACCTGATGATCGTCAATGCTTCTAGAAGTTTCCTGACGCCTTCTCTTAAACGAGCTTTGTCAGTAACTATGGCCCTTTAAGCAAGTGTCTGAATCCCAGTTTCCACATCTGTAGCAGGAGGGGCTAGAATTAGGTAATCTCTAAGATCTCCACCAAGTAAAGAGAAGAGTAGTAGCAGCCGATCAGACTCCTCCTACACACATCGGATCCCGCGGAAAGTAAATTGAAAGGATATGGAAAGGAGAGACAGCACGTATTGAAATTCTCATTAGCCCCACTGCCTGGTTCTCATTAGTGAGCCTCCTGGGCTATGGGCACAAGGGCCAGGACTTATTTTCATGGCTGAATAGCACATGTGAAATGCAGGCTATTTTTAATTTATATTATATGAGCTCCACACTTTACTATCTTATGAAGTAATGGGCAACGCTCACGGAAAACCCCACCAGAATGACGGGCTAATCCTTGAGGGGGAAAATATTGCTGTTCTGCCTAAGCTTTTGCTCTCTGCTTAATTAATCTCTAAAACTTTCAGGCCTTAATGAGAATAATTAGACTTGACAGTACTGAGCTTAATGCACAACTACAGACAACAAAAATCGTGTTCAGTTCATAAGCTTCCCAGAGCTTGCTGAAAGGCAGGCTAATGTTATTTACAGCAGCCCCAGTTAGGGGCGGACGAAGGTTCGGGACTTGAAATGTGCCTAGAGCTCCCTGAGGACAATTTCTCTGAGGAGCAGGGTACTATAGGTCCCCTTTGTGGCTTTCACTCCATAACAAACTGTGGTCTAGACAGGACCTGGCTGGAAATTCCCTTATTACCACCCCGGCCAGACTACATTTATCGTCACCTTGAATATAATGCCAGTTCAAAACCTCCAGGCCTCTCCCGTTCAAATGATGAATCGAGGGAGCCAGAGCACCGCTGAGCACTCACGGCGCTCCAGTCAGTGTCTGCCAGCTTCTGGAAATACCTCATTTTCCAGAAAACTGTTCATTTGTCAACAGAAGGATAATGCTAAAACCTTAAAGACAAATCAGACAGAAGGCAGGGGTGGGAGGATCGGGCAGAGTCTGGCCTGGAAGAGGCAGCCGCTTTGGCTCAGTACAGTTTCTCTGATTTGTTAGCTTCATGCCACCCTCGGTCTTCTCCAAGAAAAGGTTTAAATCTCCTTTGCAGCAGTTTGGGCTCATCTTCCCCAGATGGAGAGTCTAGAGCATTCCTCTGGTGCTGCAGGGATGGCTGAATTTATCTGTCTGCCTTTGTGGGAGTTTCTCACAGAGGGAATGAACAACCAGACGGGTTCTTGGCCTTTTCTGCTGTGAAGCTGCTGGAGCTGGGAGCACAGACTTGGCGAGATCCTTAGGAGTGAGGATAGGTTACTGTACATTCAGTTGGTGGTAGTTATAGCAAGAGGCACGAAAGTAGGGAGTGAAACTTCCTAAACTATCTTCCAGGTCCATAGCAATAGTCATAATGTGCATTTGGAGAGAATTCCTTCTCAGAATTACAGAACAACACATAAGCAAAATGACTGCCCAGTGCTTCTCAGTTTTAAAATAAAAGACTTCAGAATTCTTACAGATCTAAGGAGATTAAAGCAAAAGTGTGCAACAGATTATTAGAAGCCAACATGTGACCCCTTAACTAGAAATTAACACACACAAACACACAAGCCAACGTGAGGACAGGAACTTTGACCCTGTAAATGGCACTAGGGTAGAGATTTTGTTTTTAATTTTCAATCAAGGATCTAAAACAGACTTCAAAGGGCATTTAAGCTGACAGTTTTATTTTCTCCTTGAGGAAGACGAAAGATGAATAAGCGTAAAGCCAGATCATTCTCAAAATAATTGCAGCCCTGACATATCTAAATGAGTTTGTAAAAGAAAATACAGTGGCAATTGATCTTATTAATTAGAGATGCACCGGAATCGTAATACCCACTTATCCACAGACTGCCTGCAGCTACAAAAATAAAATAATAAAATAAAATAAACCACTTTCTCCTGGGGAACACAATTTCTCTTCCTCCCTGCACGGAAAGGCAGTTGGAAAGAACCCCTGCTTGTGCCACTTTTCCCCTCTGCAGTAGGTAACGGCCTTTAGAGAACAGTTCGCATTGGTTTCCCTTCTGCCCAGAGATCCCAGGGTTTACACTGGATTATGCAATGCCACGCATAGTGCAGTGGCTTGTCACAATTGATTGAACATGTAATCTGACAAACAAACAAACAAAAATGTGCTACAAGAAAATGGGAGAGTGGTTTTTTCGGTCTGCATGTGTCATTTACCTGTGAAGGATGGCAGCGGGAGCCCATGGCAGGCGGGCCCAACTCTATCAATTGCTCATTCTGTCTCCACACCCCTGGAATCCTATTTCTACTAACAGTCACTTAGCATATGGAATAGACTTGAAGGAAACAGCCCGGGTGATAAAATGCTGAGTGACGATTACCTCTGAGTGTGGCTCAGACCTGAACAATTAGAGGTGAATCTTCAGGTTGACCAAATTTAAAGCTTATATGAACTTTCACTGTATTATTACAAAAGAACGAGAACTGGAGAGAGAAAGGAGGAGAAGAGGAAAGAGGAGGAAGGGAAGAGGTGGAGGAATAATAAATTGTTTAGCAATGGAAGGAGCATCTGGTGCTACTCCAGTGATGTCAATGTGTGTGTGTGCACGCACGTACGTGCATGCGTATGTGTTGGGGGCAGATGTGGGCAGGGGAATCGAAATGGAAGGGCAGGCACCACTGTGTTTACAGTTGTGAGTAGGAGCTCCATCCCAGTGTTGGGTAGATCACCCAGACAGGCACCCTGGCATGGACCTGAATCACCTTTTAAGGAGAAGCTTTCTCTAACTTGTACTAAGGTGCAGTGAGGGCCAGAGGTGGTCTAGCAGGGAGAGGAGTGATGTCATTTAAAAACAAAGTAGGGCAACAAGTTTGATAGCATAAGTGACCCACGTCACTTTTTATCTTCCAACCTGTCTAGAATAGAAAAACTCATGGCCAGCAGGCTCCGGTACCAATTGGTATCACCCGCACAAAGTAAAATAAACAAATCACTAGCTAATTAACTAAAGACAGGAATCTTTCAAAAGCAAACTACATTTTAATACTACAAAGGCTGGGAATTGGCTTTATTGGAGTAAAAGATTAAATTTGTTATGAAATTCTGAATAATTTAAAGGAAGAGGCCTGGCAGCTTCCATTGGGCAAAAGACACCAAAGCCCATCTCACCTTGGCCTTACATCTAGAAAGCAGGGTCTTTACTGAGATGTGACAAACATACGTGGCCCTGTGGCCCCTGGTATAAAGACTCAACAGTTCCGACCCCACACTTAACTAGGGCGACCGCAGATGGAGGAGATGCTGTGCGATGCCAGGGAAGGCCATGGAAAAATACAGGCCCTGAGAGCAAGGCTCCAGTTTTTCATGGAGCAGTAGACATGCCCCAGTCAGGGAAAGCAAAGGAATGCTCCCAACAGATCAAAGCCCCGAGTCTCTCGAAATGGAAATGAACATTTTTAAAAAGGCCTTTCTCAAGGGAGAAATATGTAGTAAATCAGAGTTTTTGAAAGACAACTGGGGCCTGTGCTGGTTTTTGAATAACTTGCCATTTAATACATGTTCTATTTTTGACCCTTTAGGGAAATATACAACCATGTCTGAAACTTATGGGCCAGAATAATTTAACTTTTTTTTAAATCTCATTTTTATAAGTTTTGTAATGGAGACAAATAATCTGGAAGCTTTCTTTTTACAGTTTCATGATGAGGCCAGGTCATTTAACAAGAGATAAGTTGTTTTCTCTGCATGCCAATTCATCTTGGTGAGTTTTTTGGCAAATTAAGTCCAGTGCCTGAGGTCTCAGGACCCATGAACAGAAGAAATATTTTTGGGTGTCCTTTGCAAGACTTTGATGATAATGTAAAGTACCAATGTACTCATTGTATATTATCTCTTCTAAAACATGTATGTGTATATACACAGAGAATTTGAAGCCAGACCATCGTATTTCATGCGTCCCCCAGTGCTGATGAAAAGGAAGTAGTCAATATAAGTTCGAATTCAGTTTTTGGATGTCTTTCTCATCTTGCCAAATCCCCGTGGTCCTGGGTACACTGTCTGTACACATATATTCTCACTGTCTTGTAAAATCTTACCTGTCCTTTACCATCTTTGAACTGGGCATAGTTGGCCTGGGAAGGTATCATTCTTCTAACAAGAGTCTTGAATTGTTAAAAAAATACACGGGCTCATTTTACCTTTGCGTTGGAGATAGAATCTCATTTTCATGAGTAGGTGCAGTAAATGCTGCAAGCAGAAGCCCCTTATTTACTCACATCACTCCATCACTTCTCTTTCTGCTGAGTCTTGAGAGCAACTATCTCCACAGAATCCAGCTGGCGCTCCCACCAAACTAACTCTGATTCCAGGGCTGACAGAATTCAGGATCTGAGGAATGACTCAAAGACCACATGGAGTTCAGTTTTGCATGACATTTTCTGAGTGCAGGCCAGCAAAGACCATGGCCTCACATAATTTTTCTGCTGGGTGTGGAATAGTGCCCTAGAAAGATGATTCATGAGAAGAAATTGTCGCGTTTCTGCCTGGAACTGAATGGAAAAAATTTGGTTGAAAAAATCTCAGTCATGCACACAAAAGGCACATAGAACCAAATATATATCTTTAGCTTTGGGACTCTACATTCATTATTTCTCTCACTTGACTTGAAAAAAGGTAAAAATCTGGCTGCAAAGCTCTTGTTGGGTTATAAATAAGATTTTTGATTGTGTATTAGAGTCTGGGCCATAATAGTAGTTAATATTTGCTTTGTGTTCCTCAGTTCAGAAAATGCTTTCCCTATGTATTTAAACTTCACATTAACCCTGAATGTAGGTATCATTCTTTTGCCAACATTAACTAATGAGAAAACTAAATCTGTACAAGACATCTCCTGGACGGTACCAGTATGATGGAATGTTGACCTCTGGGGAGCTCAATTAAACCCAAGCCTTCTGCATCCTGAGACCTTTCTTTCAGCCACAAGGTGACTTGTTGCAATCCAACACCAGTTCTCCAGCACCAACTGGGTGTCCACAATTTAATTCAATTCTGACACTAACTATCCTGAGTTTGCATCAAATCCTGCATGTTCAAGAGCAAGGTTCCCAACAAGACTGCCTTTACTTCAAACACCAGCCACAAGCAGGGTCCCAGGTTACCCACACTTCTGTCGGACATGGCTACAAATTCAGAAGTTCCCACAACCCCCTCTTGTTTAAGAATTCACCAGAATGACTCACAGAATTTAGAAAAGTGCTATACTTACAATTACCATTTTATTGTAAAGGATACAAATGAACATCTAATGGAAAGACACATAGGGCAGGGTCTTGGGAAGTGGGGGAATGACTCAGCTTCCATACCCTTTCCTGGAATCGGAGCATATATCCTCCCAGCACGTTGATGTGTTCACCAAGCAAGAAGCTCTCTGAGCCTCCTTGTTTCTGTTTCTGGTTTTTTGTTTGTTTGTTTGTTTGTTTGTTTGTTTTAAATCAAGATTTCATCATATAGGTATGATTGATTAAATCATTGACTATGTGACTGAACTCAATCTCCAGTTCCTTTCCCTCCCCAGAGGTCAGAGGGTGGGGCTGAAATTTCAACCCTCTAATCATGTGGTTAGTTTTTCTAAAGATATCTAGGGGCCCTGCAATGAATCGCCTCATTAGCATAAACTCAGGTACGGTAGAAGGGTGCTCATTATGAATACAAAAGACACTCCAATCACTCGGAAGATTTCAAGGGTTTTTAAAGCTCTATGCCAAAAACTGGGGACAAAGATCAGTTAGATTTTCTATTATATCACAATGGTCTGTAGTAGGTAGGTTTCAACAAGGCTACCCATCACTTTCCCCAACCCCTGTAGGTGCAAGCTGCCTCTAATCTCAAGAGGTGGCTCTATTTCCCCTCCTTTGAATGTGAGATGACCTTGAGAGGTGCTATATAAGAATGCAAAGGAAGTAACATACTACAACTTCTGAGCCCAGGCTTTTAAAAATACTGATAGCTTCTACTTTTTCTTTCTTGGAACATTCACTTTGGAAGTCAGTGGCCATGCTTTTAGAAAGCTCAGGTTAGAAAGCATGACCAGAGACTTTACGGAGAGAGACCCTGGAGGATGAGAGGTCATCTTGGATGTTCTCATTCCTGTGGATCTCCTGGCTGGATGCAGCCATGTCAGTTACCCCATCTACATCACTTGAAGAGGAAGAAACGCCCAGGTGATCGAAGTCAACTTACAGCATTGTGAGAAATCATACATTTTTGTAGTTCCATGCAATTAAGTTTAAGGCAGTTTGTTACACAATAGCAGATAATTGAAACATGGACCCATTGAGATCTTTTTGATTGTTTAGAATTTTGGCAACAAAACCTCACGAAACATCCTTCCCAGTTGCATCTCAGTTATGCAGAATTCTGTTACATAGAGAAGAATGTTAAAGTGAGTCTTGATGTCAGAAAAATTTAGAGGATCATGTCCTGTGTTAAAAGTTATATTGAGCCTGATTAATTTTCATTGTGCTTTCTCCAGTGTTTCTTTAATTTGCCTTCCATGCACTTTTCCATGTCTTTCCAGTTCATTGACTTGGTGAGCTTAATACAAGAACTAACTGGAAACTAATGAAACTTCTTCCTAAATATCCATGAAAGACTTACTTATCCAAATAGATTTTATTACTTATAATAATCATTTTCAGTGCCTACATTTCATAGATCCTATAACCAAAGATCCACCAAAGCAATGGTATTTCAAAACACATAACAAATTCAAGAGGAAAGAACGCAGTTGGCAAGGCAGATTTACTCCATGTAGTCATTGAGGGACCCGGGTTCCGTCTATTATGCTGCTCTGCCATCTCCTAGGGCATGGGTCAATGCTGGGTTCCTATAGTCCTGGAGGATAGGAAAAGTCATGGAGGAGCTCATGTGCAGTATTTTAATCCTGGGTCTGGAAATGACCCACAGCACTCCCATTTTCTGCTGAGAACTTTGGCATGTGACCACACCTGGTAGTCACCAGCTAGGTAGCCATGTGCCCAGGGGCCATTTTATTAGTTTGGAAGCCACATACTCAGCTTTCACGCTTCTACAGGAGAAGAAAGAATGGGTTGTAGTAAATAATTAGAAATATATGGCACACATGTCTTGCAGTCTTTGAAGACAATCTTAAAAAAAAAATTGGCATTTTAAAAAAATAGCAGTATCATTGTAATATTTAGATCGGCTACCAACAAGGCTAATACTTTAAATGGACCACTTTTTTTGTACGTATAAAGTCTGAAATACTTATTTTAAAAGCTCATTAAATTATTTCAAGTCAAACATAATGTTCTACCCTTTTCATTACCTTTATCTTCTGAGAGCCAAGCCAAAAGTGGCAACAACTCAACAGCTTTGGGTCCCAAGGAGATGTGGAATAATTGGCACATAGCAGTTCACATTCTGCCTACTAGTTACTTCAAAATGACTCCTCAAATAAGTATGCAGAGCCATTTCTTCATTTCCTTGACTTCTAACAGCCCTTTGCCACCCTTGTATTTTCACTAGTGTTAACTTGTGAGGGAAAGCTTGCACCTCATCTTCTTATTTTGTGTTACTTACGAATTGCCACATATCAAATGGACATATTTGATTCAGTAGCATACATTTAAATGTTTAAAATATGAGGAGTGTTTAAGGGATGCCATTTCACTTAGCAGTCAGTGCTAACATCATTCTTTGAAACGCTCCCCATTTCCATGATGTAGCCAAAGCTTTATTTATCATCAGATTTGCATTTTGTGATGTATTCTTGAACCAGCCAAACTCATCTAACAGCAAGCTCATTTAATGCAAAGTAGATTTAAATGTGGCTGCTTTAAAATGGACCACCCTGTTTAAATGATCCTCTGGAAGTAATTAGAAACTTGAGTTCCATAGATAGGAAAAAAGAGACAAACTTAATGATCTCTCTCTCTCTCTTTCTCTCTCTCTGTAATTGTTGAGCATGCACCAGTAAAACTGCTTATCAAGAAATGTTTTATTTTTAACGTAACTTTCCCACACACAGTTAAATAGGACGTAGTTTAGTAATGACACACTAACCACATTCAGACATCCAAAGTGAACAAATCATAATGTTTCCAGCTTATATCATCCTTTTTCTCTTCAGACAGGAGAATGAGAAAGAAGGAAAGGAGAGCGAGACAGAGTGAGAGCGAGCGAGCGAGCGAGAGAGGAACGAAAGAAAAAGAAGAAAGAAAGGTCAGAGAGAGAAAGAAAGAAGAAAGAAAGAGGAAGGAAGGAAGGAAGGAAGGAAGGAAGGAAGGAAGGAAGGAAGGAAGGAAGGAAGGAAGGAAGGAAGGAAGGAAGGAAGGAAGAAAGAAAAGAAAGAGAAGAAAGAAAAAAGAAAGAAAATAGAATTACGAGACAGCCTATACTCCAATTTTGACTTATATTCAGAAGCATCTTGTTTCATGAGTGAACTAAAATTCTGTCACTTAACTCTACTTCCTTCCCAGCCGCAATGACCGATGGTAGTGTTATTTGGAGCTATTCACATAAAAAGTCACCATCCAAATGAGATCTGGTAAGATTAGCCTGATTGTCAAATCTCTCATGCCCTACACAATGAAGAACCTCAAACAGAGCTGCTGCTTCCCAAGTCCTGGTGGATCCAATCTTTGAACCAGTCATTAAAAATAAAAGCCCGTTAAACTTTCAGGACATGCTTGTACATTTTTTGGAGCCGCCAAGTTTTAAAGAGTTGAGCCAGTTCAGTGGTGATATCACCAGACCAGCGTCGCCTAGGCAATGAAAGTAGTTGCCATGGAAACCCCAGTGCTGCGCCCATCAACAGCTTTACAATTTTGACAGTTCAGAAAGTGACTATTTAGGAATTTCAATTAGAGCAGAAATATACACATTTAGGTGAACAAAATGCTTAAAAGTCTATAGAAAATAATTGTTTGTTTGTTTTTTGTTTGTTTGTTTTTGTTTTTTTAAATTAGGCAGATCCCTAAATATATTCTTCATGTGGAAATGATTTTCGGGAATAATATAAAAAGCACTCTGAAAAGAAAAAAGATGTTAAAGTTCTTTTATCCCCTTTCCTTCCTTGGAAAGGAAATAGGCACCAAGAATAAATAAGTTGTGAAAAATGATCAGCAGATTTAAAAAAAAAAAACAGGGTAGCCACAATATGCTGTGCTTGTTAAGTCGGAACTCATGCATATTATTAAGATAATTTTTTAGAATTATTTTATCTGCGATTCTTCATATTTGTACAGTTCTGGCAGGGGATTCACAACTCTACTGTAAGAGTTAGAACTCTTCTTTCTTTTTTATGCTAAAGGAAATTGGGGCTCCTGAGGATGTGGGACAG